ATGAGCAAGATTGACCTTTATTTGGAAATATTAATAAAACACCAGATAAGCACATTGCTCAAATATATCTTTAGGTTTCATTTATAACAAGTGTTGATCAAATTTGGGGATCATTGGTTGTCGTCTGCTGGCTGACAACACATTGATAAAAACATTTTTTATTCATTATAAATGAATAAATTATATGAATGCAACATCAGAGATTACATCAAATGTAATTTGTGTCACTGAAGAGGTGCATGTGATCACTTGGCACATGCTATAACACAGAGGCAGTAACTGGTACAACAAACAGGGTAAGTCGACAGGAAATTTCTACCATTGCGGTGTGACAGCATGTGACGTAAATCTTTCTCAACGGGCTAATTACTGCATTTGCTCAGAGTTTCACAAAAGTCAGTGCAAGTGGCACAGCAAACTATAATTTGGGAATACTGTAAAAAATAATCTTGAAAACACAGCAACAACTGATCAGTTCTCAGTAAACATGTTATATAACTGGATCAAGTTATTGGGCAGACATTTTACAAGCAGATATTTAGATTTTGGATATGTACTCAACATGCTCAATGTTTAAGTGAGTAAGTGATTGAGTGGGTTTGGTTTAACGCCGCTTTTAACAGTATTCCAGTTATATCGTAGCGTGTCAGCTTAATGTTGGAGGAAAGCCAAAAGTGATGCAGGTCTCAGACGTTTGCCACTTCAGTGAAACCCATGAGCAAGGGTATGGTGCTGACAAACCTAGAACTGACTGAGTATGGTTTTACGCCGCTTTTAGCAATATTCCAGCAATATCACGGCGGGGGATACCAGAAATTGGCTTCACACATTGTACCTATGTCGGGAATCGAACCCGGGTCTTCGGCGTGAAGTGCGAACGCTTTAACCACTAGGCTACCCGACCGCCCCGACAAACCTAGAAACATAATCGGGGAGAACCGGGATTCGAACCGACAATCATAGGTTTCTGGCGTGCCCAAGGGACATAATTCTGCACAGCGAATCATGGCAACTTAGATGACTGGGCCACCCGTGCCCCCTCAATGTTTAAGATGCAGAGGCTGTATATTACTGACTACTACCACCAATAACATACAAACATCACAGCCACAATGGCAGTGGCTTTGGCAAACCATCCTATACATACACTTTATTGAATCGCTAAACTGTCCAAATATCTAGTGACCTTATGGGATGACCAAACATATGATTTTTGTTTGTTGTTTAATGCCACTCTGCAATATTCAAGCTATGTAAATATTCGAGTCTGGACCAGATAATCCAGTGATCAATATCGTGAGCATGTTTAGGAGTATCATAATGCAATTAACACAGATCATGACAAGTTACGTTGTAAACCTGGCCACACCCCTCATGTAAGTCACTGTAGATATTAATTATTGCCTGGATCTATTACTATTAGCATGATCACCTGACCAGCATACCGACATGACCAGCATACCGACCTGACCTACAGGGCATGACACTGGAATATCAGAGTGAGTGAGTGAGTGAGTGAGTGAGTGAGTGAGTGAGTGAGTGAGTGAGTGAGTGAGTGAGTGAGTATGTTCAACATGGTCAATGGTGCAGTTGCCTCAAAGTATAGCTATATCTATTACTGTGTCATCATATATATACTTTCAGCATGTTGTGTATTAATATATCAGAAAATACCTACATAAGATCACATAGATGGTGAAATCATTTTTTCTCCATCAGACAATCATGGACAATAGATGTTGCATTAATACAGCTGATATTATAGGTCTTGTTGTTCTTCTACACAAGACACTGCCTGAAAAGTGGAAGGTCGACTGTTCAATCCCTGGCCATGTCATCTCCCCCCTACCATCCCTCCACAAACAGACCAGACAGAGACGGGATATAGACACACAGACAAATGCAAAACCCCATTTCGCCTCACCTTCTGCATATTCTTTCGGACCTCAGAATGCTGAGGACTAGAATCATACAATTTTAATAATTGTTTGTTCGGTTGTTGAACATTATTCAAGCTATATGACCATTCTAATGGCAGCATGAAAAATAATCAATTCTGAACCAGACAAATAGTTATTCATATTGTAAGCATTGATCCACGCCATTGGAATGCAATGGCACGCAATCTACCAAGTCACAATTAATTGAAGAAAGCCTCTATAACAAAAAACAACTGCACTGACAAGGAATATAATTGTTTGCATGTAACACTGATTATTCGCCTGTTAATTTTGGAATTAATATGGTTCTCTGACCTTTCATGCCACAGATCTGGTATGGAGACGCCACTGCCCTATCCTTAAGTTTTCTAGGGGGCACGGGTGGCCCCGTCATCTTAGGCGCCAGGATTCGCTGTGCAGAGTTGCGTCCCTTGGGCACGCCAAAAACCTATGATTGTTGGTTTAAATCTCGGTTCGCCCTGATTACGTTTCTAGGTTTGTCAGCACCATACCCTTGCTCATGGGTTTCACTGAAGTGCTAATCGTCTGAGACCTGCATCACTGCGGGCTTTCCTTCAACATTAAGCTGAAATGCAGTGATATAACAAGAATACTGTTAAAAGAGGCATTAAACCCAACTCACTCTCTCACTCACTCACTTTAGTTTTCTTCAAAATCACAGAACTTTACACTTTCACATTTACAGGATCTATTTTAAATCCAGGGCACCGACATTAATACATTTTGGTGTCCAACAAATGATTTGTTAGTTTGTTTGCTTGTTTGTTGTTTAACGCTGCACTCAGCAATATTCCAGCCATATGACAGGGGTTTGTAAATAATCGAGTCTGGACCGGTCAATCCAGTGATTGATATTATGAGCATCGATCTATGCAGTTGGGATACGATGACATGCATCAACCAAGTCAGTGAGCCTGGTCACCCAACCCCGTTAGTAGTCTCTTATAACAAGGGTTGGTTGGTTTGTTGTTTAACGCCGCACTCAGCAATATTCCAGCTATATGACGGCGGTCTGTAAATAATCGAGTCTGGACCAGACAATCCAGTGATTGATATCATGAGCATCGATCCACGCAATCGGGATCGATGACATGCATCAACCAAGTCAGTGAGCCTGACCACCCGATCCCGTTAGTCGCCTTTACGACCAGCATAGTCACCTTTTACAGCAAGCATGGGTTACTGAAGACCTATTCTAACCCGGAATCTTCACGGGTCCTCTTATAACGAGCATGGTTTCCTAAAGACTAACCCAGATGTATATTCCTTCAGTCTGTGTTAATGTTGAACATGGATCACAAAAAACTACAGAAATGAAATGACAAGAAGGGATTTCAGTCCTAAAAATAATCAGTCAGAGATAATTACTGCCATTGGTCACATAGGATAAAAACCTACTGTGGTTTCAGGCACGTCAGGGTGAGGTTTTAAATTTTTTTTAGAGAAAATACATTGTTCTTACAGAACTATAAGCAACTACCATGGTGAAATGAGCCGGCGATGGTTATGATGGTAAACAAAGACTGAGGCAACTAGGCTGTATGAGACATGGATTATAAGCGAAGATCAAAATAACCAGAACAAATATTCTATAAATTTAAGTGAACATGGTGAAAGTGTGACTTTGGACTTGTTTGAACTGTATTCCAGTCACATCATGGACTGTCAGTAGGCTTTTACAGGTCTTAGTTCACCACTTGAGTTAACCAGTGTTAATGCTCACCGGTAATTACCAGTTTATTAGTAATATTACCGGAAAAATTAGGCATGGACCGGTAATTCATGAGACTGTCAGTGCCTGGGGACCTTATAAATCTTTGTCATGTTTGTTGTTGAACAAAACATTGGCCATATTCATATAAGTATATTTTTCGAAAGATGTCAGCTTGTCTGTTACCTGTGACCAGGCTTTCCACTTTTTATTTTAAGTGCAAGGAAATAACATTTCACTTTGCTTCGAGGTATTAATATATAATTGTAGTTACTTTGTCTAAATATATTAAAAAAAGAGAAGGGAATATGGTGACTGAACTTTGTGTTAATGACATGTAGATCTAACTAAGTTACTTCAGAGATGACGTCATTGCATTGAACATAATGTTACAAAATTATAACCAGGGCCCACTTACACAAAGCGATCTTAGCGCTAAGATGATCATAACTCCCATACTTTAACATAGTCAATAGTCATTTTCGAAAGTTTTTTGTTGAAAGTTGGGATTGACAAAAACTAGGGGGACTAATGGAGTGTCAGAAGCCTGACGCAGGTCTCTGTTTCCCGCTTGAGTTCACCCAGAAGCACATACATCACGCATACATCATGATCCATTATGGTGCCGACAGACCAAGGAATATGGGGGGCACGGGTGGCCCAGTTGTCTAAGGTGCCGCGATTCGCTGTGCAGAGTTGCGTCCCTTGGGCACGCTAGAAACCTATGATTGTGGGTTCGAATCCCGGTTCGCCCCGATTATGTTTCTAGGTTTGTCAGCACCATACCGGTGCTCGTGGGTTTCACCAAAGTGGTAAACGTCTGAGACCTGCATCACTTCGGGCTTTCCTCCCACATTAAGCTGACACGCTGCGATATAACTGGAATAATGTTAAAAGCGGCGTTAAATCCAACTCACTCACTCACTCACTCACTCACTCACCAAGGAATATGGGATGTGAACAATTGCCCAGGGATTATGGCTCAGCTTCATAGCTCGGCACAGTGAACCATTACACATTAGATCACTGGGCCATGGCCACTGTTATTGTAAGTAAATAATACTTTCTGATTCAGAGTTCACGTGATTAATCACATATATTTGTGCAATGATTAAGTAATTAATAACACAAGGCCTCTGCCCTGGATAAGTACTATTAAGTAGAATGAATTAGATCTGTTATTACTGGTATGGAAAAAGCTCTGATTATAATTTATACGCATTACCATAGTTTAGGATACAAAGACATATAATGAGTGAGTGAGTGAGTTCAGTCTTAATGATGTTTTGGTTCATAATACAAAGCAAAAACCAGGGAATCTTAAATACCTTCATTGTAAGACCAGCCTGTAAATAACAAGTGAAAAACGTTTGACAATATCTCTAATATTAATGAACTCAAATGATTGGGGATTAATACCTCTAAATTCTGATTTGCTTTGTTTCTTTGTTTGTTTCTTTGTTTGTTTGCTTGTATGTTTCTTGTTTAATGTCCCACTCAGCAATATTCCCGATATATGATGGCAGCCTGGAAATAATCAAGTCTGGACCAGACAACCCAGTGCTTGATACTTTGAGCAACATTCCACGCCACCAGCTTATCACACAATCAAACAAGTCACTAAGCCCGACCGCCCAATCCATTAAGACGCCTCTTGTGACCAGGTTGATGGGGAGCAATTCTTACCCGGAATCCCCATGGGGTAACGCTGATTTGCAATCATGGTAGCAGACTCAACCACAGACGAATATAATCATGTAACATGCATATAACACCAGCATGTAAATAATGATAGTTATAATGATAATATGCATAATGTAGTTTAATAATAATCATAACAATATCATGTTCGTATTACAACACTATTATCCAAATACCAAAGTGTTTTGTTCTCATTGCAAAATAACACACAAAAAATGATCAACAAGTAGGAAGTGAGTGAGTGAGTTTGGTTTTACGCCGCTTTTAGCAATATTCCAGCAATATCACGGCGGGTAGTAGGAAGTGAAACTGATTGTTATTGTAAACATGGGTACATGAATAAATACAGAAAGGTAATGACAGTAGGCCATCAATTTTCTCGTTCAGCAATAAATTCATAAATAGATAAATTGCAATAAGCACCTTATCACTGCTTATGCTGGGTAATTTCCAAAGAGACATCACAATCAAAGGGACATAAGCCACGCTGTTTTGGCGGATATTACCGAATTATTAAATATGGCCCTTTGCAGTTTTCTATATTTTTGCTTTCTTAAAGATTCATTCTTATCGGAATAATTAATTAGAATGGTCAGAGAGTGCAAAAATCTTATATATTTGTCCAAATATGCCCTTCACCACACCCTTGAAATTTAAGGATATTCATCTTGAGTCATCTACAATGATCTAGACTGATGGAGAGAGTTCAAGTAGCAAAACAACAAACTCAGAACACTGAACTTAGCACAAATATCACACCGTGGCCACTGTTGCTGGGTCAAGGGTCAAGGGTCAAAGGAATAGACAGGGAAGACTTGCAAGAGGACCCAGACATGCTAGAGCTTCATATCATCATCATAACACACAGATTAGCAGTCGAGTGTTTCCGTGTTTCACACATCAGTGGGTCCTAGGGTACTTGAGTATGTTCCTATAGGTTATGAATCTAGGGAGACCCTGTTAATCTTCCAACTTTTAACAATTAGGGCTATGAAGTATGATTGACTTTCATGCTGAATTTCAAACACTGCATATCATACATATATCAGGAAGTAAAATTTATACAATGAAAGCCATCTCCTTTAATATTCCTATTATGAGATATTTACAATAAGGAAACACATTTCTCTTTATTATATGTCAATCTTGAAACAACTGAAATTTATTATATATTTTTATTCACAAAAGTAACCCAACTAATCCATAGTGTTATCACAGGAGAGTGAACCACCTAATTAATAAATATTGTTATCACCAGAGAGTGAACCACCTAATTAATAAATAGTTTTATCACCGGAGAGTGAACCACGTAATTAATCAATAGTTTTATCACCAGAGAGTGAACCAACCATAGTTTTATCCAAGTGATCCGAGTTATTGTTAGCCATCCAGTCTAAATGAAGCATATGTTGGGACTCCAGTCAATCAGCTTCTAAAATGACTTTCGTTTTCATTTCCCTACCACTTTGAAAACTTTGATCTCAGCAAAAGATAACCCATACAAAACATAAATATTCCCTCTATGGTACTCTATCGGTTGTAGATGCCATGGCACTCAGAAATGACAGAGTGTTGGTTTGGTTTGTTTGTTGTTTAACGCCGCACTCAGCAATATTCCAGCTATATGACGGCGGTCTGTAAATAATCAAGTCTGGACCAGACAATCCAGTGATTGATATCATGAGCATCGATCAACGCAGTTGGGATCGATGACATGCATCAACCAAGTCAGCGAGCCTGACCACCCAATCCCGTTAGTCGCCTCTTACGATAAGCATAGTCGCCTTTTACGGCAAGCATGGGTTGCTGAAGACCAATTCTACCCCCTATCTTCACGGGTGTACAACACCTACACACCATATATCATGTATATGACAGTGCCTTTATTTTTTCTCACAAGGAACTGCCTATTTATGTTCGTTTTCATGATACAGAAATCAAACATCAGTGATAGAAAATAACATGTTTAGTCCACATAATGACAACAATGTTTCCTCAAGGTGATACAGTTTAGTGCTGGTTATCGCTCAAACATTTTAATATCGATAATCGGAGCTGTTAGATCGTTAGATCGTCTAATTTCTTCACATATTAATATTAGCCAGTTTGGAAAGTAAACACATGTCCTTGGAAACGGGACCGATGACAAAGTACAACCACTTCCTGGTTGACATCGGCGAAAGGTTCATGACATGGAGCTCTGACTGAATAAAATACATGTTTATGATGTACCTCTGTTCATTAGTTACCTATGAGAATAGATTTACATAACATTTTTAATTTCAAGACTTCATAATTATTCTTCGTAATGACACATATATATGTGTGCTCATCTATCTACCGACAGACAACTGTTTGTCACTACACAGGGATTCCCTCTCTCTCAACCAATCAGAAAATAGCTTGTCAGAAGCTATATTAAACTTGCATTGTGATTGACTAATGACCTACAGTTAAGAACACAAGACATGCATGCTGATCAGTGTCAAGTTAAGTGAGTTTCATAAGTGAAATACACTGATGTATATCAAAGATAAAAATTTATAACAGTATGTTTAGAGTTATAGAAGATATGTGTTTCAAATCGATTATTAAGAATAACTATCGATATTCATTTCAAGATCCTAAATCGATCAATTAACTGATTATTTGATCAATCGCACCAGCACTAAACAGATATATAATTGACCAAATGTATCAAGATGTATTACATTTAGAATGATAGAATGATTAATGGGAACATGGGCACAATCTTTACAAAGCAGTTACAAATGTTCTCGTCCTTAAGAATTTCCCAGTCGTTGCACGGCAATGTGTATATGATACATGTACATATGAGAGCACAGCCTCGTGTGACTAAAATCGAATCATCACAATTTCATATATTTTTTTTATGAATTCATTTTTGTTTCCATGGCTACTGTACCACACTATCTGACCCTATTGTACCATACCATGCCTCTGTGTGAATATCACTGAACACGACTGAAGAGGTAGAGTGATCATGTATTTATGTTTTCAGGAATATTCCATCAATATCACAGCAGGGTACACCATAAACGGGCTTCACACATTGTACCCATGTGGGGAATCAAACCAATCTTCGGCATGAGGACGGAACACTTTTACCATGAAGCTACCCCTGCGACCGTGAAGCTATAATTTAATAAAGGACCCACTGCCTGGGCAGGGTGTACTCACTCATGTTTACAGGTCTTCATTCTGCTCACACCACATCAAACTAACCATCCCGAGTCGACATCTTCACTCTGAAACAAAGCAAAACAGAATCAAATACTCAACATGCTTGCTTATCGTGGGTATTGTTGCATTAAAACTAAGGGTATCAGTGACAGTTTAGTGTCAATATATCAACTCCAATATTAGGGGTGTCACGATAAATCGAAATATCAATATATTGCTATTGGTAAGCACTTAAAGTCAATAAATCGATTGTTAAATTAGTTTCCGATCAATAGTATCGATTTCAGTTAGGAATATCGATAGTTTCGATTGTATTTACCATGCAATCCTGTTCATATTTGTGGGTTTTTTCATCATCATGATCATGAATGGTAGTAATTTACACATGGAAGTTTCTTTTTCTTAAATTATTAGGGTCTTTACTTTCAAAACAAATCAGTCATATCTCAAACTTTACTTTTTATTTGTTGTTATGGTTATCACATTCAAAGGAAACTTCAGTTCCAAGGTTAAATTCAACTCTAAAATCCATCTAAAATGATACACTGAAAACTATCGATATTTTTCGCAATAGTTGCTTGCAATATCAATTGTTATCGCAATAGTTTCTTTCAATATCAATAGTCATTGCAATAGTTATTTTCAGACCAATAGTCACCCCTATCCAATATATTACCACATGTAGACTAATAACAAAAAAAAGTTATTTTGCATGTGTATTGATAAAAAAAATCCTATCTCAACCTGCAATTAACCAACTTAATGCTAAATAATAACAAGGCAGATCCATCAAATGTTAAAGATTAAATTTTCTGCTGCCTTATTTTAACCATAGTAATGTTAACAAATGTAAATGTTTCTGTGGCAGGGAATCATTTATTTAGCAATAATATTAGTATCCATATTCATAATGTATCGATATAGTGAGTGAGTGAGCTGGGTTTTACACCACTTTTAGCAATATTCTAGTAATATCACAGCGGGGGACCCCAGAAATGGGCTTCACACAATGTACCCATGTCAGGAATCGAACCCGGGTCTTCGGCATAACGAGCAAATGCTTTAACCACTAGGCTACCCCACTGCCACTTATCAATATAGTAGCAACAAACATGTTTTTTATACATCAACATCATGTTGATGCTTAATGCCTCACTCAGCAAACATGGAAGCAGTCTGTAAATAAGTGAGTCTGGACCAGACAATCCAGTGATCCATATTGTAAGCAATGATCCATCATGGATTATCTAGCTTATCCTAAACATTAATTCCAATGGATTTCTCAAGATATATACATAAAATTTTCTGCATGTTTAGGTTATACATATTTGTCAAAAATTCTCGATTTGGTTCTTAATTCTTAGTTTGGGTAGTAATGACAAAAATATTGTAAACAACGACCACAAAGACTCAACCAAAATATGCATCACCTTGTTGTTGGCTTGATGTTAACTATGCATATTTTCTAAACATTTATTTGAAGAAAAGTATTGTATGGGTACTTAATATTTCCAAACAAGATTTTATTTACTCTTTATCTCCCTAATCTGAAAATAAGCAAATGTTCAACAAGTCATGATCGCATGCTTGCCATAAGTGGGTGCTGGCGATAACAGGTCCCTTGGCGATAAACTGTCACCTGGCTGTACTACCAATACGATAGAGGCAAGTGCCATCGGACTACATCATGTGTATAGAAGCTGCACAATCAATACAATCCCCAAGTTTGTACAAATATTTGATTTGATATACAAGATTTATTGCAATCGATTTATTGCAATCAATTAATTGCATGTATACATAACCATGAAAATCCAATAGTTCATTGTCAGAAGGTCTGTGAATAACATAACAAAGGTTCCCTGCCAATGAGATATATACTACTCACAATTAGCTAGGGACTATACCTTTAACTCAAAATGACTTTGCTGGTTCTCAGCAAATGTTGAGTAGGATATATATATATATATATAATGAATATTTCAAAAATGGAGTTTTACCATAACGGGCATAGACACGATAGGATCACGCATCAGTGTACAGTCTGCAACTTTAGTCCTTAGTCCAAACCCCGAGTCAAGTAAGATTCTGTTTGGTCTAGTAAGCTCAAATATTTAATAATACCGATAGCACAGCGTTAGAAATTGGCACTAGTCCTGTAGTCCTTGCCAATCTGCCCAATAGTAAAGGTATCATAGGGACAAGAAAGAATTTGCCATTTTTAGGAATTTTGCTATATGTTATCATTATAAGGTTGGTTTGTTGGTTTGTTGTTTAACGCCGCACTCAGCAATATTCCAGCTATATGACGGCGGTCCGTAAATAATCAAGTCTGGACCAGACAATCCAGTGATTAATATCATGAGCATCGATCCATGCAATTGGGATACAATGACATGCATCAGCCAAGATCCCATTAGTCGCCTCTTACAACAAGCATTCTATGTATGCAAGCAGGTGCTAAACTATTCATTTGTCATGGAAAAAACAGCGCTGACAGCAGAACACTTCAAAAACTTTTTTGTCTTCACACCCCTACTTGATGAATATTGGAATGCTCTGTTTTGAGATTGTTAATATCCAGGTACTGATCCGTCGAATATACTTGAATACTCAGTACTGACCACTATTTTCTTAGTCCTAACTGTATATTCGACCGTTAAGGATGACACCATGCTTCAAGGTGACTGACAAATAGAAGATTACAACGGCATAAACCGTTCAAAATCCCATTAACTTCAAACACTGGACAGGAAGCTTGTGACTTTCACATTTGTTTCAATCACCATGTATACTGTATACATGAATACTGTAAGACAACTACAAGTTTGAGTGAGTGAGGTGGATTTAACTCCACTTCAAACAGTATTCAAGTTTCATCACAACATGCCATCTTGATGTGAGACGAAAGCATTCAGTGATGTAGGTCTTAGACGTTTATCACTTTGGTGAAACCCACAACCATGGCTACTATGCGGACAAACCTAGAAAGATCATCGAGGCAAACAGGGATCCGTACACACGATCACAGGTCCTGTAGAAAGTGTACATATTGGATTGGCTAGGTCTATTTCTACCACTGTTACAATCGTGATAAGTAATATTTCATTTTAAAATAGACTAAGGGCTGAACACTGAGGATAATGTAATTGTTGGATCAGTGAATCCCCTTCCATTAGTCCTGGCATTATGCAGGAGTGGGTGAGTTTGGTTTAACGCCGCTTATAACAGTATTCCAGTCATATCGCGGCGTGTCAGCTTAATGTGGGAGGAAAGCCCGAAGTGATGCAGGTCTCAGACGTTTACCACTTCGGTGAAACCCACGAGCACCGGTATGGTGCTGACAAACCTAGAAACATAATCGGGGCGAACCAGGATTCGAACACAAAATCATAGGTTTCTGCCGTGCCAAGGGACGCAACTCTGCACAGCGAATCGCGGCGCCTTAGACAACTGGGCCACCCGTGCCCCCCGGCATTATATAGGATGAATAGTATTATACTGATGCAGTTCCCTGACCCGAATAATGGCAACTCCTGCTTGTAGCATGTGTAGTGTTAGACTTTCGGGGTAAACTAATTTACTATTTAACTATTCAAATAAAGCAGAGACACGTTTGACTCGTAGACTCAAAAGGGTTAAGCACAAACTGCTGTACTCACAGCAGAATCAAAGTAATCAACAACCACCACCATGTCAGTCCCCAAATAGTCTGAAGCCTGAGTCCATCCTTTGAAAGTCATGTTAGTCTGCTAGCCCGAGACCACCAAATTGTGTTAAGGACATGTAAAAATCCAATGCTGGTAGTCCTTATAGACTTATAGCATTTAAGGGCTATAACTCTGAACCAGTTCTCAATGCTTCAATTTTGCTACAAATTGAAAATGAATGAAACCAACAGAAAATGTAAACATTGCAAAACGTTTTGTCTCGTTCAAGCAGGACCAGTTACAAACTCTTAGGACTTGTGAAATAACGTTAACACTAGTAAACTCGAGACTTACTAAGTCTATTACAACAAATTTTTAAGGCCGAGAGTCCAGCAGAATTCTGTTCGGTCTCGAAAGTTAATAGACTCGAATAATAACAATAGTCCATACATAATCATGATGATACACTAAAATTTAAAAATGCCTTTGAGCCAAGTTTGGTACAGACTGTGATGAACGTAACTCGTAGAGGTGTAATATGAATCCAGACAATATGCGTGCGATATGATTCGTATCTCGATGAAGTACTTTTATTTCATACGTTGATATTCTTTCAGGTGAATCACAACCCTGAATCATTTGTTATTAACTTTCAGAGATCGAACATAAGATATTGTAAGGCAGACACATATAGGCTAGAAGGCACTGTGAATGTTACGTTATTTATAGCCAACCGGGAAATACGAGACAATCTGTGTAAGCTGGTTGTTTAACATTTAGTCATTTTGCATTTTAAACATGTGAAATCTCTTATCATGCTTATTATTCACATGTTATGACACCACCATACTTGTAATGTAATGAATGTATTGTATTTATAGCGATACAGGAGTTGTAAATCGATGTGTTGGATTGTTGGCCTCGTATTGGGATACAATACTGTATCGCTGTACCTTTACACCACTAGCAGCTTGGGACTTGCCCATGTCGGAGTTTGTCTTATATTAAAAGTATTCTGAGGGTTAGTAGATGGCCATGATGTCCATAATCAGGGTTTTACAAGACCCACAATGTAGGGAATGGATGCAGAAAAAACATATACTGCATCCCGAAGGACGCACAATAATATTCATCATGGACATTTTGTGTAACAAGACAGATGTTCGGATTGAACAATTTAGTCAGGCATCGGTTACCTCCCTTCAACTGCTTGTCGACCAGTCACTTGTACGCGAGATGGTATGTGCAGTTTCGAAAGAAAGTTAACACGTTTTAACGTGATGGCTAACAGGTGTGTAACTTTTTGTAACTCTATGATAAATAAGCTTTTAAAAAATACTACATATAAGTTTCTGAAAAATATGTACATAGGAGAAAAACGCTGTCAAAAACAGAATATTTTGATCAAATTTTGCACATTTTTCTCCCAATTATTACTTTCTCATGACATTTTTTTCATGTCAATCAATAACTGGTTTAATGATCAATAACTGTACTTAATTTTGTTTTATTATTTTCATAAATAACACTTGTAGAGGCATTTTTGTGATACATGCAGAAATCCATGGCAGTCACGCATACGAGTGACCCTCTCTCAGGTGGTCACGTGTACGCGAGACTGGAGACCTGTCTCGCGTACATGTTACGTCCTCCACTGGCCATTGTACCTACAGCGTATCAAGAGCAGTTATGGGTGTCTCTTATTTCATACATCAGGCATGACATCCGTCATCATGACCATTGATGCATTCCAGGCTCTGAAGTAATTATTTAAACATACACTACACTACACCATTTCTTTACTTACAGTACCCATATGGTGAGGTAAAATGGGGTTTAACATCGCGTCCAAGATTATTGCACTTATATAGCGACGTGCATGTACGTGTGTGTGTGTGTGACTGCTTGTACTAGTCCGGACTGATGCCGATTTATAGTGCTAGCTCACTGAGATACCATGCCGCAGTTTAACATGAATACCCCACTAAGACACAGTATACTGACTCCGAGCCGACCAGTCCTTGTTTTAGCCCCTTAATGCCGAGCGCCAGACAGGGTAACAACAAGTACCAACGTTTGAACCCCGGACCTTCTGCTCCATTGGATCTCACGTTTGAAAGCCAAGGTCAAACAATGGTCATAATGTAATCACTATTTGCGCTTGTAATGATTCACGTTAATTCCATGACTACTGTATCATGTGTTTGGTCAGAATGGACCATCACTCATGTTAGAGCTGCCGTGGTGCTTCACATTCAAATATGATCATAATTCTGTACACTGATTTATCACCCTGTGACATGCTAGAAACAAAGTAGACAATATGACAAGATACCACACTCATCACCATCTCTAGGCTGTCAGCACCGAAACACCTGACATAGGAGCCTTCGTCTTCCTTTGGTGAAAAATAATTTGTGATAAAATGTAGAGAAAGAGTATGTCAATTTTGTGCCTCATGGAGACTCATTTAAAGGTCTCAGCCACTTCCCAGACTCTACCTAGTTTTGTTTGTTTGTTGTTTAATGACGCACTCAGCAATATTCCAGCTATATGACGGCAGTCTGTAAATCAAGTCTGGACCAGACAATCCAGTGATTGACATCATGAGCATTGATCCACCCAATTGGGATACCATTACATGGATCAACCAAGTCTGCGAGCCTGACCACCCGATCCCGTTAGTTGCCTCTTACGACAAGCATAGTCACCTTTTACGGCAAGCATGGGTTGCTGAAGACCTATTCTAGCCCGGATCTTCACAGGTCCACTACCTAGTCTCTAAAACAATCTAATCATAGCAATAAGGGTAGTGTTGGGAGCTGGTCAAAATCTAAGATTTAATTGTTTTGAAATGTTAATTGATTTGAAATTACAATCGACAATCAATTAATCATGTTACCATGGTAAATTATTTATAAGGAACAACAATAGCAAATATCAAATTAAGAAAACATTGTTTCCATTACTTCATCTTTACATATATAATACCCAAAGAGAAAATGAAGAGAAAATGAAAATATTCTTCCAACTTCATTGGCTAGGAAACAAATCCTGCCTGTTATTGTCATTATCAGACCATTGTGTTTTAATACAAGTTACCTTTAAATATATTTATTATTAAAACAAACTAACACAGATTGCTGTTGACATTTATTGCCAAAGTAGATGATCAATGAGTTTGCTAGTGTTCCTGGAACCGTTGAGTGAACTGATTATGCTGATGCAAACATGTAGTTGACACTGTCTAGCATATAAAAACTTGACTCAGAGAAGCCCACATACATTAACTACATATAGTATCCAGCGTTAGAAATTGGCACTAGTCCTGTAGTCCTTATCAAACTGCCCAATAGTAAAGATATAGTTTTGCTATATGTTATCATTATAAGGACTAGTGGACAAAAACTGTTAGTTTCTAACCCTGGTATCGCAAGGATGTTATACATGTGCAAATAATGATGATTAGGACTTCTATGGTATTTCTGTCACTTTCTACATGTTCTAAACACATATACTGAATCACAAACTGCAAACATGTTAATATAGATATTATCACATAAATCAATGTAATAGATTTCTAATGTACTCAAACTTCTAACTATTTCATCAAGAATCAGAAAACCTGATTGTAAGTTCAATGATATATTTGAACTTTTCTTGTTATATTGTGTATATGATCATATGATATTAGCATGATTAGGGCTGGCTAAAAAGATTGATAACTGGAATTATCGTCGATGGGAAGAAATATAATGATTGTCAATATGTAATTGTTGTCATTGATACCATTGTGATGAAATAAAGTTGTCAATAATGTCAATTGTCAAAGACTGATAGCAAATGTTTTTGTTTTTCTCAAACATCCACAAAGTTATCTATGCATTAATGTTTCACTGCTTACCACTGGCGTGAAATATGTTGATTTCTTTCGGGACTTTCTTATATATTTTCTTCCTTCTCCAATACTTATCAATAATTGATTGATATGATACTTAGTAATTATCGATCTCCATTATCTATATCGATAGCAAGCCCCCTATGATATACATACTCATGGATATGTACAGTACAGGGTACATCAGTAAATAATTAAAATATTGCATTCTTTATCATGGAATATGCATAGATAATAAATAGCCGAAAAAGCTTCTGAGTGAGCATGTGCACTGATATGTCATGAGTTAATTCTTTGGATATCATACCCGTGAATATTCGGGGTAGAATAGGTCTTACTTGCCGTAAAAGGTGACCATGCTTGTCGTAAAAGGCGACTAACGGGATCGGGTGGTCAGGCTCGCTGACTTGGTTGATGCATGTCATCGATCCCAATTGCGTGGATCGATGCTCATGATATCAATCACTGGATTGTCTGGTCCAGACTCGATTATTTACAGACCGCCGCCATATAGCTGGAATATTGCTGAGTGCGGCGTTAAACAACCAACCAACTCTGGATATCAAGTGAAACATGACCCTTATGTCATGAATGTCAAAAGCCTGGGTGCGCCATGTTCATGCCTGGGACCCCAAAATGTATTTTACTGAGAGTTCCCTCGACTCGGAAATAGATAGTACATGAGTATAATACGGCTTTTCATGTTTATGTCCGTCCACACTCAGTATTTCAGAATCCTTGTATCATTCGGATTTTGAAATCTAGATTACCGTTTACATGATTATGCTCTAACTACACAACACGGAGTAAATATATAGGTTATACGTGAAAACCTTACCTCAAAATGAACATGAAAGTCAAACAAACTAAACATATTCATGGCGGTAGTAAGCATTACACCATAGTAAATGAAATATTTAAATGTTCTCGATCTATTGTTATGCTTCAAACGATGGTTGTCCATTACTCATGTAAGTGTCGTCTGGTCTACCATATTTGATCATTACATATAATTCATATTACACAGTTTCCGGAATAATGTGTCAGTACTAAACCTGACCTGGTACACTCTCTATATCCATAATAGTAATCTTCTCAAATCACATATTCTCATGTTTGACGTTGAATTTTGACAATTCAATCATAGTATCAACTTCCTCGTGGAAATTACACCCGCCCTGTTATAAATGTCTCAAGGAAAGGCGATAATACCATTTCGCATACACCCTATATCACAGCGAGATACAACCAATTGACACATAAACCGGTTGAAAGAAATAAAGTCATAAAAATTTACCAAAACAAGGTTGATTTTGACAGGAAAATGGCCGTGAAAACCCAGTGGAATGCGGTATATTGAGGGCGTTTTGGGTGTCCTATGACCAAGAAATGCGGTGGGAACGTCGTGGCAGGAAATACTGTTGTCCCCGGAAAACGTACTTGTCGCCAATCCAGGCCCAAACAGGTGTGTTTTCAACTTTAATCGCCTACCTGTATTTTTAGATCCACAGGGAACACCTCCGGTGGTCACGTGACTATTTCTCAAGTTGAGCTAGTTGATATTTATCAGCCACCGAGTGAGATTAGACAAGAGTTGCCTCCCATTGATTCAGAACGCGCAACTGCATACATTTTATTAGTGTTTCAAACGATCTTTGCGTCCTTGTTTAAAGCCGAGTGTCAGTATGGTAAACCCTTTTCAAATACATTACTTACATATTTATTTATTTCAAATGTACTGACGTTTTTATTTCTAAAGATAGCAATTATGTTTTTTTATGATATCAGTAAATATTTGAAGATATCATAATTAATTTATAATTTCTAACATTCAAACTACAATAATTGAAATCTTAAAATGTGTTTCTGTTATATCAAAATAAATTTTCGTGATATCTCTAATATAGGATATCCCTAAAACATTATTCCAAAGGAATTCAACGTTTGGTATGAGCATGATGAGTTCACCTATGCGCACCTATGAGGCGCCGTTTTACAATAAGTCGATCTCCAGATAATAATAATAGGCTAGTTATATTGCGCATATTTTCACACCACTCAGGGACATGCTGAAAGCGCTATTATTGCCCCGATCACTGGATCAGTGTGCACTCAATTAAGAATCATTCTCAGCTTCATGATTAGTATACAACCCAAGGTGCCTGTTAGAGAGGGTAGAGGCTAGAAGGGTATAACAACCAGTGGCATCTCATTCTACCGGGTACCCATTCACTGCGGGGTGGACAGAGGCACACTTCGAACGCCATATGTCTTACATGTGCTTCAATGTGGGACAGGATAGGAGCCCTAGAAACTCCCAGGAGCCAAGCTGAAACGCGGTCACCCATCCAAGGACTCTCCGCGACAGACGTTGGTTAACTTCACTTGGTGTGTGACCTGTTAGATCTGTTTCATAACATCATAGTCAGTTGGCCACCAGCGGAAAAGAGGCTTAGTTTAGATTTTCGTTCCCACATTTTCCTGTATACCTTAAACCTTTTCTATTGCATAAAAGAGGTATCTGTACACAATTTTCATATGGTAGTAAGCTTGCAAGTGTGTGCGTGAATTTTCAGGAAGTCAAAATTGCATAAATTGAAGGAAAAATGCATAATTTGACAAAATTGGCTGTAACATTTTTATTAAGTCATTAAACTATCCAAATTATGTCTTTGATTACAGGTTATGTGTTCGCTTATCTGAATTTGGCAAACATTTTGTTTCATATAACTGTTATTCTAATTCTCAGTGGAAACATTGATAAAAATAATGTTTTTTTACTTCATTTTCAAATCAGGTCAGTAGGTAAAACACTAATTCCATTGAATTGTGACAATAAAACCACTATAACCGGGTATCAAAATCTGCCTGAACCATTGCATTATCCTATACACAAAACAAAATGAAAATATATTACATAGGGGCTGAGATATTGTATACAATGTTATCCCACCCCCCAACAAAACAATTTTGACGAAAATTGCTTATTGAGATATGGTGGTAGATTATGTTGATGTAGTGGATGAGTGGGATAACTGCAACAATGCTTAAAAACACCAAACTAGTAAACCCATAAAGAAAAAATGATGTTTCAAGTTTTTCTGTGAACATCTACGGCGGCCATCTTGAATTTCAAGATGGCCGCCATTTTGACCTGTTTTCACAATCAAGATCTAATATAGTTCTTCAACATATATATCATATGAAAGCTTTTTTCATTGTCTTTTCAATGATGTACCTTATTTACTGACTTCTGTGGTAATCTTAGAACAAATGATATAGCGAAAGCTAATTTCTCTAGCGACACCAACCAACCTCCAAAGTCGGATTTTAATAAAATGGACATCGTTTCACTCAAAATTGTAGATATACTGCACTTTTGTCTAGTTTATCATTTGAGTGAGAAAAAAACCATGAGAATACATGTAGTGTTGTGTATTACATCACAGAGTCAAGGGCCGTGAAATAATATCACCTCTAGTCACCGTCAGAGTCCATTTCTTCTGGAAAAGTAGGGAAGTTGTTTCTGTTTAGGCATGACATAGCACAACTGCATCCAAGGGAACATCCCATGATGTTCTTGGCGCAGCTACACCTGGATGAGGAGCATCTGCCTGTTGTGCATTTACAGGTGAGCAATTCTAGACACAGTGCTGGCATTCGTTCCTGGATCATTGGGATGGGTTCTGTGACAGACGTCCACCTATACTCTTCTGGTGGTGGAATGTCAGACTTTCCTTTGTGTGCGGAACACCACGTGATGCAAATGTGCTGATATCTGAGAAGATTCGAAGAATAATAGATAAATGAGCCATCCTTCTGACGGCTTCATGGTCCAGTTTTATTGGACTGAATGAGAACAAGCAAAATTTGATACAATTCTTGACCACAGAATTGCACGCACAGGCACAGCATCTCCATCATTACCATCAAATCATCATCATTGCAGGTGGATTAAGCAGCCCAGATACAGCAGTATCTTCCATAGATCAATCTGAAGCAATGCCAAATCAACTGTCAACACATAAAGAGGCAGATACACGAATGATGATCAATGTCATGGATGCCTCCTGCAATGGATACGACCACAGTGTCATTCACAGCCGAGACACTGATGTGTTAGTACAGTTGACACATCATAAACATTGGTTTTCTGCTCAGATATGGATGGGTGCATATCAGTTGATGATGTACATCAATTTCTCATTCTCTCGGATGTTGTAGCAGCTCTACCAGTATTCCATGCAGTCACAGGTTGTGGACCTGGAACATATTTATCGCACAACCATATTTGTTGCAAACAACAGAAGAAACTGGTGCCTTCGACATGAAAGAGACAGACTCACTTGTCATCAAAGTGTACAATCCAGCTTCGACTGCAACTAGCATTAATACACTTACAGCTGACATGTTCCACAGAGTTGGAGACCTAGAGGAACTCCCACCACATAACCTCTACTCAGATGTCAGCACATTTGCATCACGTGGTGTTCTGCACACAAAGGAAAGTCTGACATTCCACCACCAGAAGAGTATAGGTGGACGTCTGTCATAGAACCCATCCCAATGATCCAGGAACGAATGCCAGCACTGTGTCTAGAATTGCTCACCTGTAAATGCACAACAGGCAGATGCTCCTCACCCAGGTGTAGCTGTGCCAAGAACAACATGGGATGTTCCCTTGGATGCAGTTGTGCTATGTCATGCCTAAACAGAAACAACTTACCTACCTCTCCAGATGACGGTGACTAGAGGTGACATTATTTCATATTTTATTTTTAATACTTCATAATACTACAAGTATTCTCACGTTTGTTTCTTCACTCAAATGATAAACTAGTGAAATGTTCACACAAAAGTGCAGTATATCTACAATTTTGAGTGAAAATATGTCCATTTTAATTTAAATCTAAATTTGGGTATGGGTTGAAGTCGCTTGAGAAATTAGCTTTCAATTTTTATTTTTATTCATTGTTGGGGATCAATTTACCACAGAAGTCAGTGAATGATCTACATTATTGAAAAGACAATGAAAAAAGCTTTCATATTATATATTACATGACCATGTTGAAGAACTATATTAGATCTTGATTTTGAAAACAGGTCAAAATGGCGGCCATCTTGAAATTCAAGCTGGCCGCCATTTTGACCTGTAGATGTTCACAGAAAAACTTGAAACATCATTTTTCTTTATGAGTTTACTAGTTCGGTGTTTTTAAGCATTGTTGCAATTATCCCACTCATCCACTACATTAACATTATCTACCACCATATCTCAATAAGCAATTTTCGTCAATATTGGTTTTTGGGGGGTGGGGTAACATTGTTTACAATATCTCAGCCCTTTTTAAAATATTTTCATTTTGTTTTATGTATAGGGTAGTACAATGGTTCAGGCAGATTTTGATACCCAGTTATAGTGGTTTTATTGTCACAATTCAGTGGAATTAGTGTTTTACCTACTTACAATATTTGAAAATGAAGTATAAAAACATTATTTTTATCAATGTTTCCACTGAGAATTAGAATAACAGTTATATGAAACAAAATGTTTGCCAAATTCAGATAAGCGAATACATTACCTGTAATCAAAGACAAAATTTGGATAGTTTAATGACTTAATAAAATGTTACAGCCAATTTTGTTAAATTATGCATTTTGCTTTCAATTTATGCAATTTTGACTTCCTGAAAATTCACGCACACACTTGCAAGCTTACTACCCAATGAAAATTGTGTACAGATACCTCCTTTATGCAATAGAAAAAGTTTAAGGTATACAGGAAAATGTGGGAACGAAAATCTTGTTTTTCACCCCTGGCCAACTGACTATCTTCATTGATATCACAAATTCGAATTTTTATATAAATAAATGAATTTATTATATCTAGCCATGTATTTTGTGATATGTTATTATGTATTTTATGATATCTAAAAACGAATTCGTGATATCGTCTAAGGCGCCGCGATTCGCTGTGCACAGTTGCGTCCCTTGGGCGCGCCAGAAACCTGTGATTGTGAAAAATGATTGTGGGTTCGAATCCCGGTTCGCCCCGATTATGTTTCTAGGTTTGTCAGCACCATACCTGTGCTCGTGGGTTTCACTGAAGTGGTAAACTTCTGAGACCTGCATCACTTCGGGCTTTCTTCTTCCCACATTAAGCTGACACGCCGCGATATAACTGGAATACTGTTAAAAGCGGCGTTAAACGCAACTCACTAACTCACTCATGTTGTGAGCTCTGTGGCCCTTGATACCGAATAAACGTCTTCTTCTTCTTCTGGGGCGCTCGAGTAGCTTTGTAGTTAAAGCGTTAGCTCATTACGCCGAAGAACCGGGTTCGATTCCCGACAATGTGTGAAGCCCATTTCTGGCGTGCCCCGCCGTGATATTGCTGGAATATTGCTAAACGCGGCGTAAAATCATACTCACTCACTCTTCTTCTTCTTGGAAGCCCATTTCTGGTGCCCCCCGCCGTGATGTTGCGGGGATATTGCTAAAAGCGGCGTAAAACCATACTCACTCACTCATTCTTCTTCTTGTGTACTGAATATCAACAATGAATAATCTCATGGCAATGTCACTGTTAAAAAAGAACTTCTTTGTGAAAAGACACTCGATCTGCAGGGGACAATCGTTAGACGTAACACCGCTCAAGCATATACTGCTGATAAACTCCGAAGTCGAACCTACCCCTGTACATGGCAACCGGAGTAATGCTAGACCGGAGCAGTCTCCATTCTATTATAATAATATATAAAAATGCAACTACTAAACTATAAATTGAAACATCCTTTAAGTAAGGGATAAAAAAGAGTCTGTTTCTGGAGGTTATTATACATAGCGGGGAAGAAAAAACAATACAGCTCGAAGTTTTTTGCATTATTTTTTTATATTCATATTGGAACTAGAGGCTGCTTCCAGTCTGAGATAATGACTAGACGCACAATCTGATTCAACTGAACCAATGTGTTATCTTACATATTAACCGATTACCCTTGAACAGTAAACTGTCAGCGTATCGAAAACTCAATGACTAACGACAAAAGAATTGATATCTTAACATAGTTGTAAAAGCCAAAGATTTTGTAGCGCTTGGCTATTGTCCATTGTCCAGTTTGTTGTGTTCGTTACATACCGACTCACAACCCGGACCACTGGAGTTGCCGAACACTAGTTTACAACGCAGCGTTCTTGAATATTTATAATTTGCGTCTTTTTATTTTGTTGTAAATGATAGTAATACGGGTGTGTTGATTGGGCCAACAGTCAATTAGTCAAGGAGGGTGTCCGTGAATGGAGAGAAATGCATCGAGCTGTTGGGTACACGCTACACGGGACTATTCTGGTGTTATGTAAGTACGATTTACTTTGTGTGTTGTTTAATGCCGCACTCATGATTAATATTCCAGCTATATGACGGCGGTCTGTAAATAATCGAGTCTGGACTAGAAAATCCAGTGATTGATATCACGAGCATCTACACAACTGGGATACGATTCCATGCATCAACCAAGTCAGCGAACCTGATCATCCGATCCCATTAGTCACCTCTTACGACAAGCATGGGGTACTGGGGAGCACTTTTAAATGTTAGCCATTTTCACTTTCTTACATTGCAAGTCTGGACTGCTGTTACAAAAAAGTATGGTTGACACAAGGTCGATTTTTAGAACTATGAGCACGTCCGCATGAGTTATCTACCAGATGTTTGTATTGACCTTTTCTGCATCTCCTCAGAAAATCTCGTGGTCTCAAAAACTTGCTCCTTTTTAGATATGAAAAACATCGTCTCCTGAAAACCTCTGCAAGACATAAACCTTATCACCCATTTAAGCCTCTCTATTTATTTAGTGTTGTTATAAACTACGGTTATAACGAACAAAAAGGGACCACTAATTTTAATTCGTAATAACCATAGTTCGTTATGAGCATAATACAGCATACATACAACAAATGGCCTGGACTAAAAAATAAGTTCGTCATATCGGTCAGTTTGTTATAAGAGTGTTCGTTATAACCGAAGTTTAGTGTAATTCAAAAACATTGTGATTTATTAATGCTTTCCACAATTTTCTTAAATCATGTAGATCTCGTGGGCCAGAATGCCCCTATCATACCATGTCTTTTCATCAGAACAACCAGTCATAATGACACAAGAACAGTGTAACAACTACAGGGTTCCACGATTCGCTATGCATAGTTGCGTTACTGAGGTGTTGCAGAAACCTATATGATTGTGGGTTCAAATCCTAGAAATGCTCTGATTATGTTACTAGGTTTGTCAGCGTCACACCCGTGCTCGGGTACCAATCTACCGGGTACCCATCTATAAAACCGGTATGTCTTTAATACCGGTACGTACATCCTCGGGTTTTCTAGGTGTCCTCAACATTGTGTTACTGACATATAACAACGGCATCTACAACCTTTACCACGATGACCTCTCGCTGACAGTAAACGGCGTGAACCTCTCCGGCTACCTGATGAAGCCAGATGTGCCCTTCTCAGTACATGTCTTGCTCCTGCTGGTCGGGGTAAGTTCATTTGGCTCTTCTCAGATCAATCGGACTATCTTAAGTTTAGGATAGATTATGGGAGTTACAATCATCGTAGCGCTAGAATCGCCTTGTGCAAGTGGGCCTTGGATGGGCCACCTGGGCATCGGCATGGATCGTTAGACATGCTGACAACCTGACCGACCATCACAAGACGCCATTGTAGGTGTTTTACTGCCCTTGGCGTCAACCACATTCACTCACTAACTCTTATTATCATATATGTAATGAGTGACGAAAAGTGAGGGATTAAACGCCACTTTTTGAACAGTATTTGAGTGTTATCACGGTGTGTCAGCATCATGTGGGATGGAAGCCCAGAGATAAATCCAAGATGGCTGCCAAAATCCAAGATGGCCACCAGTTGTCATAATTCATAGAACGATCCGATTCGGCTATCGTAACGTTGTTTTCAATGATCATTAATAACGGGCCAACATGATCACCATGCACTTTATCGTGAAAACCAGTTATCGAAATCGGGGTCAGGGAGACTATAAGACTATATTGACTTCATGTCGGGGCAGGGGCGGTCGGGTAGCCTAGTGGTTAAAGCGTTCGCTCGTCACGCCGAAGACCCGGGTTCGATTCCCGACATGGGTACAATGTGTGAAGCCCATTTCTGGTGTCCCCCGCCGTGATATTGCTGGAATATTGCTAAAAGCGGCGTAAAACTATACTCACTCACTCACTCATGTCGGGGCGAGCCTTGTATTCGAACCAACCACATGCAGATCCAGGTAGAATGTCATGAAGAGTAATATCACATTGGCTGTATTCAATACACGTTGCAATATACCAGTAACCAGCCATTGTGACTGCTGTAAACATCGCGTGTGTCCTATCTTTGTACAGGGCTTCATCCCGGGGGTGACTGGCCTGGGTCTCATCACTGTCAACAAGAGGATGTCTAGTGTGAGTTAACATATATTTCATGTTATGTTTTGATGTGACAAAGGGGAAGCACGTGAATTTACCGGGTTCCAAATTCATTGTATAAGAGTGTCATTGGCAACGTTAATATCGTAAATGCACATTTCAAATAAATTTCTGGCACTTCTGGCTGATTATTATTATTATTATTATTATTATTATTTAAAATGAATCAACGAACGCGCTCATGTACAGAATGACTAAAAAGTACAAATATCATTTCAAAAATCATAATCGGAAATCGCCACTAAAAGTCCATTGCACCATTCCGACTAATATCATAAGCATGTGTTCATGAATCACTGTCAAATAGGGATGAAAACTGGTTTCAAGGTGAGCGTATCCTGCGTCATAGGTGGCACCCGTCACAAACACTTGCAAGTGCAAGTCAATTGTGCCCCTGAAAACTTGGGAACATACTGGAACATATAGTACAAGTCAGAATAGTGAATTTCATAGGACATCATGTTTGTCATTGGTGCCTCTAAAAACCATAATCCTGATCTTTCAACTTTTGAGCAAGAGTCGTAAAACGGCCTTTAAAATCTTAGTAGAAAGGGAATGAAAAGTTGTGAAATGTGGACACTAAGGCTGGACTATTGTTCGACATCTTGTCATACAGTCTTTTGGAGAGATTTTGTCACTCTGAATCCTCTGCATTCTATTTCTATCTAAATATGAAACAGATGAATCGGTTTCAATTGCCCTTTTATTTCAAACTCAGGTGGGTATATCAGGCTATTTGACCATCAAGAACGATATCAGATCACCGATATAACTGTAGCTTAAGTTAAACTTCTTGCCAAATTCCCTTGTGTGACTTTGCCAAACAGAAGTTGCGATTCATTTGCATTAAAAAAAACAGATTAGCAAGAAGGGGAGCATCACTGGTGCCCACGGGAATGTCTGTGCTACATTGTACTGCTGAACAGCTGTGCGGTGACAGGCAACAAACATACTTTTTTATGCAAATTGAGTTACCCTTTTCGCGAACACCCGGTGTCAACACTGATTTTCAGTGATCTACTGACACTTGCTTTTATTCTTGATACATTCTACTGAAGCCCTGAATATAGAGATGTAGCTCTATATGTGGTCACATAATGCCCCGTGGATCAAGGAAGTTTCCCCTTAAGTGTGGGATAAAGATGTACACAGTTGAAAAATAGAATGTTTTGACAGAATCAAAACCTATTATCATCTGACTCCCGGCGAAACACCATCCACTAAGTTTATAGTATTTATCTTGTTAGCACACTAAAACACGTACGCACGCACGTACGCACGCACACGCACGCACACACACACACACACACACACACACACACACACACACACACACGCACGCAGCATTCCCGGGTACCCAAGTTGCACCAAGTCTTTCAATAGATCCTTGTGTTAGAGGCAACACCTCACCCGATATACAGTAAACTATGGTTATAACGAACTCAAATGGATTTTAGTTCGTTATAACCGTAGTTCGTTATAAGCATATATACAACATCCATACATCAAATTTCAAGGATAAAAAATAAGTTCATAATATCCGTCAGTTCGTTATAAGCGTGTTCGTTATAAACGTATTTTACTGTATTCTTTTCCAGAACGTTCGTCTCGTCCACGTAGTGAGCGCTGTAGGAGGCACGATATGTGGAGCTGTGTTGATGGTGACGGAGGCGACAAGTATACATGAGATCAACGGAGTGTCATGCAGCAGGGATAACTACTGGGGATCCTGTGGATGCGGATATGATTTCATCTTTGGATTACCAATGTAATATTCATTTTACCCTCACTTCTCCGGAAGGGACCGACTACTTGATATTCGGGGGTGGGAGTGGGGGTGATGGGATTTTGTATCTGGATTAAATAATTTCTAGGCAACTTTTTCAACAGTCTCAAGCATAAGTATTATTTTCAAGAATATATTGGGACAATATATTATTTTCGATAACCCCCATAATTCTACCTAGGTCATGGTGAAACATATTTGATAGCACATGCCTTAGGGAAACTCCAGTCATTCACTCAAAACTCATTGGAAAGAAATATGTTTTAGGACATCCTCGATTATCAAGAGTTCGGTAAAAATTACACGACCTTGGGGGGGGGGGGGGGGGGGGGGGGGGGGTATCGCATATCGTATTGCCTGAGAAACATAATCGATGCATCGCTGTATTGGTTAATCGTGACATCCCCAGTATATGGTATAATAAATGTACAACAGAAATAAGACGTGGTTCACTCGACGACATCTTCCCGGGGCAAGAGAGTTAACTGACTATAAAGTCCAGTTTGCACCCTTGCCGAACTAGGCTGGTATTATGGAGTTATATTTTGGCTGGACTAACGAGTCTATGCATAGTCCAATCAAAATCGCGCACCGAAATAGAAATCCGGTTCGTTAACTGTCGTGCAGATTTCGATCGATTGCAGGATTTGCAAGGCATGTGCCCCGCCAACTTGTTGTCAGCAGATATTTTCCAAATCTTTTCATGTTTTTAATCAAGGTGCTCACGTGATTTAATTCATTTCGTGATGTAAGACACGTTTTATCACAATATATATCTTGATTATCGATCAGGTCGTCCTGACCGGGCGCCACCATTTTGTGTGAAGCAAACGCAAGTGATACGAGAGATGGAATCTGATTGGCTTAGACGGGACATAACTGGTAATAGCCACTGGTGGCGCTACGATCGAACCCAGTAATTCCAGCCTCGTTCGGCAAGGGTGGAAACTGGACTTTTAAAGTCAGTTAAATCTCTTGCCTCGGGACGATGCTCGAGGATGGCTCTGGCGATGCTACAACAGTTGTTCATTTCAGCAATGCAGCAGTGTGTGAAATGAGGGATGTGAGGATCACCTACCTGGCGGTGTTGTGTTTGAGCCTCATCTGTGACGTCATCAGTCTGGTTTTAACAAATAGAATGGTGAGTTTTTCGCTAACGCCATGGGGCGCCTTGCAAAGCGCCACATAATGTGGACATGATTATATACGAAAATTAACTTCAACAAAAAAAAGTTCTAAACATCTAGGAGACCGTTATTGGACGCGAAATAATACACGTTGGTCATGTAAACAAAGACACGTAACAGTTGAATGAGAAATTTATAGTTTCTATAGGTTCATATATTGTCAAACCATTTTCAAGAGAATATAAAACATCAAGAAACGATATTTACTCCATAAATAACTGTTAGCATTATTTGGCCTAGTCAATGTGGAACTAAACGTAAATAGGAAGACAACAGTTTGTGTACCGGCTAGACACTTCCGTTAAAAGGGGAGATAACTCTTGTAAGACAATAGTTTCGTCAAAGTGTCACGTTCACTGCAGTGAAATATCAAGTGTTATGTTCACTACAATGAAAATATCACTTTTCTCAACTTCAGACCGAAGTATATAATAAATAGAACAACCTACTCGAAGCTAGGAATTTCGGATCACCTATCCCTCGTAAATGAGCGTTGTTAGGCCAAAGCTCTGTACCTTTTCCGGTTTCATTGCAAAAAAAGAATCTAGCCTATAACGATATATACATCGTGGGTAAGGTGAGGTGAAAAGACGTTTAACGTCACGAGCCCGCTGAGATACCATGCTGCAGTTTAACACGAATATCCCAGACAACGTTTACTGACTCCGAGCTGACCAGACCTTGTTTAAGTCTCTTAAGGCCGAGCTCAAGGCAGGGAAACAGCAAGTACCATCTTTTCTAACGTCATTGGCATCACGCGCCCGGGGATCGAACGCCCGACCTTCCGCTCTCCGGGCAGACGCTCTACCACTAGACCACGGAGGCGGTCTGATTTACATGGCGAGTGTAATGCATTGAAGAACTGAAGATAATGATTCTGATCAGTAAAAGCAACATGACTCCCTCGTGACAACAATTTGATATGAAATCTAATCATGACAAATTCATATTCGAAATATCTCCCAGCGGGATTTCGGTTAAAAATAGATTCCCATTCACCTATGCTTGTGAGGAGACTAAAATATCGGTGGTCAGACTCTCGGTGACTATGTTGATTGCCTGTCATCGTACCCATACGACGTGTGGCAGTGCTCACAATATCAACCACTGGTTTGTATGGCCCAGACTCGATCATTTACAGGCCGCTGTCACACAGCTGTCTCTATTACCGAGTGTCGCGGTCAATACAATACTATGTAGCATTATGCTGTTACATTGTACATATTGCTTCAGGTCAATGATCAACTACAGTGCAGAGTTACGTCCCTTAGAAACGCCAGAATTCTATGATTGTGTGTTTGAATCCCGGTTTGCGGCGATTATGTTTCTAGGTTTGTCCCCACTATATCCGTGTTCATGGGTTTCACAAAAATTATAAACGTCTGTGACCTGCATCACTTCGAGGTTTCCTCTGACATCAAGCTGATACGCTGTGATGTAACTGGAATATTGTTCAAAATGGCGTTAAACCCAACTCACTCACTGGTCACATTTTGGGACTAGCGAAAGTGAACATGTGCAAATATTGCAAAGTTTAATGTCTCCATCGTTCAACTCGTCATGTGTGTAATCTGTTCATAGGGGAAGGATCTCCCGGACACAAAGAGCAAGATCACGAGAGTGATGCCAATATCGTGACCTTCTCCGTGAACTCCTCAGGTCAAGGTCATCTGGAGATATTTATGGCGGAATGGCCGTCCTGGGTCACAATGAAGACACATATATTTTGTTCTAGATTAGTGTTTTGCGTTATAAAGGCGATGTAATCTGATGTACAGAAGCAGCCAAAATCGTATTTGATGCTGTGTCAAAACGTGTATGAACGTTACGTTTATTTGAAATAAAACGTCATATAGGTGACGCATTATTAATAATCATCTGGGGCGGTCGGGTAGCCTAGTGGTTAAAGCGTTGACTCGAACCCGAATTTAATTCCCCACTTGGGTACAATGTTTGAAGCCCATTTCTGGTGTCCCCGCCGTGATATTACTGGAATTGTGCTAAAAGCGGCGTAAAACCATACTCACTCACTTACTCAATCACTCATTAACATCTAATATATAGGATACATTTCAATTTACTGCTGACATAAATATTCTTCTTTGAATTGTCCATCATAATTCCCGGCGTGTGTCGTATTAAGCGTAGGACGTAGCAGGAAGCAACAGTTTATGTTGTGATGTTCCACGGCAATTAGCAAATCAAGAACACATAATTAACGTGTTGATACAAATATTCATTTCCATTCAAAATTGCCCTCTTAGATGGTTCGCCTTTCTCAATATTTCATTGGTATTATGTTGTGAAAGTAGATCCCTCAAAGGAATAAAGACGCAACAGCAATTAATGTCTTAAACTCTGATTGGTCGAAAACAGACATGTGACCTTTTTCCAACACCTAAATACGATGACTTCATCACTGGGTCACTGTGGCGCTTCCAGTCTAAGGGTCAGTATTAATCAAAGGGCACTAAATTCAGCCCAAAAGTTTCCCTTTTATATACTTATATACTTGGACGTGACAATCCAGTGATTGACATCATGGGCATCTATCCACGCAGTTGGGATACCATGACATGCATCAACCAAGACAGCGAGCCTGACCACTTGATCCCGTTAGTCGTCTCTTACGACAAGCACAGTCGCCTTGTGCGACAAGCATGGGTTGCTGAAGACCTATTCTACCCCGGATCTTCACGGGTATTGTAGACAGAAGTGAATTAGGTAGATTCTCATTGAAAGTAACCCAGTATGTTCGAATAATCAAGTTCGCCAGGGGTTATCTGAAGAATGAGTTCTGCCGCTACAGAACAAAACATATTTGTTTGTTTTTCAAAATAGGATTCTTGAAATCCCGCATGGATACACTTGCATCCCGTTAAAAAAGGTAACCAAAAAATGACCTTTTCGTTTACACACAAGAAATGATCGCTCTCCATGTTGGGTGGCCTGTACAGGGCTGTTGTTATTAACAACTTAGATCCTCCCCTTTCAGAGAAAATATTGAATGATCGGGTTGAATCTGAAATACGTACCAACGACCTGCGGATCGTTGAATCTAAGGGGCGTAACTCTGCGCAGCTAACTGCGACATTTTAGATCGCTGTCTTCCGTCAGTTGTCAGAGGTGCGTTTAAGCACGCAATCATGGTCAGTTGCTATGTAATGTTTACACTGTAGTGCCTAGTCTGAACAGTCCTATCATGTTGATCATTTATATTTCAAAGCGTGACAAACGAGCGGTTTTTTTCACAATCAATGTGTTGGTAGCTAGTGGCTACCTACCAACCAGGAAGTTCAGAGGTCAAACACAACAGATAAGGTACATGTGTTTGATGAACACTGATATATCCTCACCAATCCAGGTGCGACCAATGGCAGTCGTCAACGAAACTTGGCCGGAGTCCAGAGACGAGAAAAACACCCCTCCCAAACCCCTTCACCACCCCACCGCTTTTAGCCCCCTCCTCCCCTCTCCTCTCCCCCGAGTCCGTGTCCATGACTGCACTGACGCCTTAACGTGACAACTGTGCAACGGTCTCCAAACATACCCATATTAATGTATAGCAACCAGACCTGTGCACCCAGCCCTGCTGATATTATACCCAATAAACAAAGCGCAGGACTATTGGATTGACATCAGTTACGTGAGATAGAGGGTTTAAATACTTCAAAGTACGTTACGTTTGTATCAGCCACTAGTTGACAAGACGTTGATTACAAGATCGTTAAAATCACCCCTTCCCTGCTGTTTATTTTTGAGTGATGCTTTAGTTTTTCAGTGAGTTAACGAGTGTTGTTTTACGCCGCTTTTAGCAATATCCCGGCAGTATCACGGCAGGGGACACAAAGAATAGAATTGATACTTTGAACCCATGTGGGCTGTCGAATCCGGGTTTGATCACCGCGCGGATGAATGATAAAACACATATAGAGTAGTGGCCAGGGCCCCGTTCCTCAAAGCGATCTTAGCGCTGCGATGTTAAAGTATGGGACTTACGATCACCTTTGAGCTAAGATCGCTTTGAGGAACGGAGCCCTGACCTTCAAACTGCCGACATACCCCTCCCATAGTAGAACTTAGCCAACTTAGATTTTCTTTATGTTTTTTACTAAAAAATGATGGGTGTGGTAAAATGTTTTTGTCATATATACTATTTTGGGGTCAAAATGCACTTTTCTGTCGCAAAAATAGAGAAAATCAATTAGAGCCCCCTGTTCAGTGTTCTCCAAGTCGTGTATCGGGTGGTCAGACTTAGCTGATTGTGTAGTCGGTGTGTATTGCTGTTCATGCTGTCGGCCACTAGTTCAGGCTCGATTACACGTTGCTTTGTTAAGGGGATGCAGGCAAGAAACCCATGCAGGTTTTCACTTGAAAAACATGCACGGTTCACACATGAAAACATACATATCTGCTAAATGCAAACCATACAAATGTATACATACAAAACGCACTTATGGAAAACATGCATATACACACATGCAATGATACACAAATAAACTTGAATCATGGGACAATATAAAGATGCAAGACGTGCACATTTACACACGAAGAACATGCAGACATTCACACGCAAAACATGCAGACGTACACGTGCAAAACATGCAGACACACTCAGAGCATGCAGACTTACACACGAAAAACATGCAGACAGATGTCAAAACATGCAGACATGCACGTGCTGAACATGCAAACATGCTCAAAACATACAGACATACTCAGAACATGCAGACATAGTCAAAACATGCAGACTAACACATGCAGACATACAAATGAAGAACATGGAGACATACACGTGCAAAACATGCAGACATACTCATGCAGAACATGCAGACATACTCAGAACATGCAGACATAGTCCAAACATGCAGAACACGCAGAACATGCAGACATACACGTGTAGTACATACAGACATACACACGCAGACAATGCAGACATTCACGTGAGTGTGTGTGTGTGTGTGTGTGCGTGCGTGTGCGTGCGTGCGCGCGCGTGTGTGTGTGTGTGTGTGTGTGTGTGTGTGTTTCAATTCATCGTGTTTCCTTCCGTATCAGTACAATCGACACAATAATTCCTAAAGACTATTTCTCAGCGTTGGCTACACAACATGGTATCCATTTTGGATAATGCATTTGTAAATACATGGAAGTCATAGCACATAATGCACGATGCAAATGCCAAATAATGCATGGTACATGATGCACATGGTGTATTAAGCAAAATACACACGGTACATAGTACACGGTAAATAAGGCATATAATCCATTGTAACTATGCAACCCATGCTTGTCATAAAAGACGACTAACGGGATCGGGTGGTCAGATTCACTGAATTGGTTGATGCATGTCATCGTAATTGCGTGGATCAATGTTCATGATGTCAATCAAAGACCGCGTCAGATGAACTTTTTAATCAGCCAATCAGTGTCGAAATTTACGGGGAATCAAGAAGCCTCGGATCTGATTGGCTGATGAGAAAGTTCATCTAACATGGCCGGGAGGTCATGAAGAACGGTATCGTATTGAAGTAAAAGTTCTATTTTTAATGACATCGCAAAATTAGTATGAGTATCCATCGGCCTTCTTGCATAAAATTAGTTCTCTCAGACCAGTTAAATGTCTAGATTACAAATGACATTGTATGCCCTGATGAAGGAAAGCCCAGTAGAATTGAACATCACTGAAGAGAGAGTATGACAATGGCGTTCTGACAGTGTTATAGTTTACAGGGAACTCTGTTCATTGGTGTTATATATAACACGTGCTGAGTACACTCTCAACTCTCAGGGGGCACAGGTGGCCCAGTCGTCTGAGGTGCCGCGATTCTCTGTGCAGAGTTGCGTCCCTTGGGCACGCCAGAAACCTATGATTGTCGGTTCGAATCCCGGTTCGCCCCGATTATGTTTCTAGGTTTGTTAGCACCATACCCGTGCTCGTGGGTTTCACCGAAGTGGTAAACGCCTGAGACCTGCATCACTTCGGGCTTTCCTCCCACATTAAGCTGACCGGCGTGATATGACTGTAATACTGTTAAAAGCGGCGTAAAACCCAACTCACTCACACTCACTCACTCAACTCTCACAGTAGGTCTTTAATCCAGCCATCTGTTCTCATGTTACCATCTAGTCCTTGATCAGCTCAGGCTGCTGTGCATTGAACTTGACTCTTCGTGGCTTCTTCTGAAGAACCTGGTCCATCCCGCGCCATTGCATCGTGTTTCTCGATCCAGGCATCTTCTTCTTCTTCGGCGGTTTATTCTAAATAGTCAGTTCAATATACAAATGAATCACCGTTTACAGTGAAATTCCACAAATGGTTTAGTAAAATGCGATAAATTACGTTGATGCTAATGGATGTCTGTTGGAAGACCTACCTCCCAAGTTACTGTGATGAGACATAGTATGGTGCAGACACAGCTGAAGCCCATGCAGACGAGGTAGATGAGGCGCACCACAAACTGTCCGCACACCATCACAGATCTGGAAAACGTTTTGAGTGAGTGAGTATGTTTTACGCCGCTTTTAGCAATATTACAGCAATATCACGACGGGGGACCCCAAAAATGGGCTTCACACAATGTACCCATGTGGGCAATCGAACCCTGGTCGTCGGCGTGACGAGGGAACCCTTTAACCACTAGGCTACCCCACCGCCCCGTGTTTGTCAAAGCAAATAAGTATTTCGTTATGTTGGTAGAGATGGGGCAGACATACCAACCACAAACCACAGAGAAAACACAAATAGGTTGAATTAACATCCAATCTCATTGCAATCAGATCTTAGTTCAGGCTACCGCAAAACAGACATCAGAGGACATCCAATTACAGGTCACGTCAGAACGACCTTTTCATCCAACTAATCAGAGCGTCACTTACAGATAAGGAAAGCGACAGTTGGAATATGTTTTCTAATCATGTAACCTCTAAGAATTTAACGCGGGGTATTCCTAACGGCAGTGATGGGCTTTACGACTGAATCCGTCAAAAGCATCATCTATCGCTTGCTTCGGTGAGATCAACATTAAATCGGAAGAGGCTTTGCGATGCCCGTGGGAAGTTCTGCCATGCAATCTGGGCCATCTATTAGAAATTCCGAAATTGTCTTTTGGACAGTTTTCAAACTTTGAATCGAGAATTTGTCAAAATATGTTTCAACGCGTAGTCGCCAGTTTGAAGCTGCTTTCTGATTGGATAATGTCGACTTCATGGTAGGCATTTCATTGGTCGGTCAAGGTTCGCGAAAGGTCGTTCTGACGTGACCCGTAATAGGATATCCTCAGATCTTTGTTTTGCGGTAGCCTACTATATTAAGTACGACTGAACCACAATGTGGCCTACTTATGTGACGTAAGGCTGAAACACGACGTGAGCAACATGTGTTAAGTACGACTGAACCACAACGTGTCCTACTTACGTTAAGTGATGGTGAACCACAACGTGTCCTACTAACGTTAAGTACGGTTGTACCATAACGTGTCCTCTTAACGTTAAGTGA